TAATTTATAGGTTGATGAAAAGAAAAATGACTTTACGTGTCAGGTGACAGAAGAATATAGGTGTCTTAGCAGGTTCCCTAAAGTTCTTTTTTATGTATTATCTAATTATCTACTACATGTTAGGCAATGTAATGTAAGTGTATTGGTGATTTATATTTACTAACTCAAGTGTTTTGTCCTTTTCAGTTATGAAGAACTAAAACTACCACAATGTTAAGTTCGACGGCCCAATAATCTGCCGTTATCACTCGACATTGGCAGTATAGTCGACAGCACTGTATTAGAGACTCCGTTGCCAAAAAGAAAAAAAAAGTTTCCCTAGTCTTAATTTGAGAGATGATAGTGAAAACGACTAAATTACAATATACTCCATAAACATCTACATCTAAAAGCTATACCTATGACTCAATTAAATAATACAGTTACCATGATATCGACTCTTAAAAAACTTCAAACATAAATTTTTGACGTAACACAAACATCTGTCGGCATATTTTTAGCTTACTTTATGCGGAGTCAGGGTATATGTTAATGCTGGCTTTGATCTAGCCACGCGTCCCTACTTGGCCTGAGAGTGAACCAAAACAGTGCAATTACTGTATTATATCAGGACAGACGAAGTTATTTTTGAGTGTATATTGATGAGTATCCGCATCCTAAATCAGGAATTAAATACAAACTGGCTAAGAAAAATTTCTATTTAAAGAAAGAAAGAAAAATTCATTTGTCAGAATTCAGTTACAATCGGTATTTTATCTTAATTAATGTCTCATACATTCTACCGAATCGGTGTACAAATATTACACTTATTTTCGAACTATACATTTATGTAAGTACTATTCCACAACAATGTTTTTGCAAACGGCTGAAGGAATCAGGATGAAACTTGAAACAGTGGTATATTATGGTTTGAAATAACTCTTTGGCTACTTTTTAAACCACGCGAACGCGAGCGAAACCGCTGGCAGAAGGTAGTAAATGTATAATAGAATATGCATTTAGAAAATCAAACGATTTCAAACAAAAAGAAAATTATAAGAGTGTTTCTAGAAAACACAAGAAATTCTTTGATCTTTGATTCACTAGAAAGAAAGGAAATTGTAATAATTATTTCCAAAAATCCACAATGTTTGTGATGTGATCAATCAATCTTTGTGAAATCGCAATCAAAGAATAGGATAGACAATTAAAATAATATTTAAACGACTTACTTACGTTTAATATTACTGCTCTGGCTATCCCGAATAGATGTACAAAATTTACTATAAGCAGATCAAAGAAATACAAATTTCAAGATCATGTACTGTATTATTAAAACAAATCATCATTATAACTGTATACACTATATTTAAAAACACCGACTTCATAACCGACTTCCTTTTTTTGAAGAGGGTTAATTATAAAGTCGGTTAAATATATATATTAAAACCTCCTAAACTTAACAAAAACTTTTCTTAAAACTGCATCAAAATCGGTTAAGCTAGTTGCTAGATAACCACGATCAAACATTCACATACAAACTGAAGTCAGTCAACGAGAGAAACCAAATGTTTCAATAGCTCATCTAGACTACGATGACGCAAATCTATAACTAGATTATTTGTTAGTATTAATCGGATTCAGAATAACAATTTAGTTTAACAATTGCAAGCTGAAATAACTCAGGTTTTATTAACACTCCTAGACAAGTTATGTTACACTATTTATCTTTAGTTCACTTTGTTATAGACTGCAGATGTATTGCAGTTACCTTGAATTCCCATTTAGATTTTAAGAGGAAATATTATTGTGCTGTCCTGAGTCTTTGATCGGCAGACATTAATTTTTTTTATGTAATCACCCGTTAAACGAGCAATCGGCAATGGTAAGCAACCGGCGTCGTCCATGGACATCTAAAACACCAGAGGCATTACAAGTGCGTTACCAGCCTTTTGGAAATTGGGAATTTGAGAATTGTGGGGGATTCGGGGATTGGGGAGACTGGAGAGGGGAAGAGGGTAATTGGGTAATATTAGATTTTAACTTCAAATCTTTTGAATGATTGAAATCAATTTTTGACCTTAGTTATTTATTTAGAACTAATCTATAGTGTTTCTATAAATGTAGACTGTTTAACGTCTTTCAAGTTTCATTTTATTGGTATAAATTTAGCGTTGATAATAATTACTGGATTATATTTTGGTACCTAAATCATAAATCCCGTTTTAGACGAGTGCTAACAAACTCTATGTAAAGTTCTAGACTTTGTACCATTGCTAAGAATGTTTAAGCTTGCAACGTAATCGAATATACCCTGTCTATATCAACTTTTACATAAAAAATCATATCAGAGCTAACCAAAACTTTCTAACGTAGGTTTTGTATATAATCTGTGTCTTCCTCGATGTTCTGAAAATAATTTAGCATCCATTATTTTGCAGTAAATCAAAGAATTTCTCTACAAAACACCGTTACGAATTTATTTTAAACGTTATACCTAAGGTAGTGTTTACACCTAGTACAGCACCTAATTTTAGCATCAAACCGTCAAGCACATAACCAGCACATTTGCTTTACGCAGTAAAATTTGACATGAGTAAGTTAATACCAGAGGTTTAACTAGAACGCAGGTACGAAGGCCTGAAGGCCATGATATAAAATTTTCTGTTCATTAACTAGGTACATGTGCCGTTCCTCAGAATAAAAGTCATGTGATTTTTCAAATAACCAAAAATAACTTCAGTTTTTATTTAATTATAGATGCAAGCAAAAGTTTTATATAACAACACAATAGGTACTAGTAACGATTTTTCTTAACCGTATCAATGTTTTTTTAATGCAATTTGATTAAAATTCAGTAATGATCTCTAATTAGAAAATAGATACCTACTTATAGTACAAATTGCAATAATTAATACACCATAAAATATTAATGTTTAGCCTCTGTTACTTAGTTACTCATGCGCTACACAGCTGCGATTGCCACATGCGTAGGTATCTAATAATGTATGAGGTGGCACGCCTCATCGTCGGCAATTGCAGCCTTCAGCCATCATTAGGAGTTAAACACTCATATTTAAATAAATATCCAGTGTCTATTATGTGGCAGGAAGATTATTGCGTATTTAGGGGTGGCCAAGGTAAGATCAACGTACAACTTTTCTCTTATGTTAAGGACCTGGGCTGCGGAAGAAAATACCTACATATTGAAGTACATTCATTTTCTGAATAGTTACCATTCATTATCATCATCATCAACAGCCTGTAAGTGGCCACTGCTGGGCAAAGCATCTTCTCACACGGAGAAGGTTTGAGCATTAACCCGTCGTTTGCCGGAACGTAGATCTACGCGAGACACAATGCATTTTCTATTGTGTCTTATATACCGGCAGTCAAGAGGTTAAACACGACGCTTGTTCAATGCGATTTGAAACTTATTTTAGAAATTATGAGTCCAGGTTTCCTCATGGTGTTTTCCTTCACCGTTTGTCAGTGGTATCTAAATAATCTTAAAAAGTATAGGTATACTAGCTGACCCAACAGACGTTGCCCTGCATATCCACTTGAATGTATAAACAACAATTCATTAAAATTAGTTCAGCTGTTTACGATAAATAACCTAAACATCGACTGCAGCGCCATCTGCCGGGCTGATTTGTGAATCTAAACCATTTCCAGATCCCCTTGAATACACACAAAAAATTTCATCAAAATCGGTCCAGTCGTTTGAGAGAAGTTCAGTGATGTACACACTCACA